CAACATTCCACCTTCTACACTCTAAAAAATGTTGGGTTGTTTTAACCCAATTTTGGGTCAAATATGGACAAACCCAGCCATTGGGTTAATTTTTTTTAATTCCATTTTTAACCCAATGTTTCGGTTTGTACATATTTAACCCAAAATTGGGTTAAAACAACCCAACATTTTTTAGAGTTTAGAAGGTGAAATGTTGATGCAATGCCGCTTAATCTTGACTAGACATGTACCGGTATTCTTAAATCACGGTAATGAATATGCACACAGTATTGCTATTGATGTGCATTTCAAAATACCGAGTATAATTATAGATCTAAATATTGATTTTCAGAATGCACATTAGCGTTGAATTGAAATTGAAGTGCAACATGCAACAAATACATTTTCAGTGCTCTAAAATAAATAAAAAGAGAGATAACACAATTCATTTTAAAGCTTTTTTATGGTTTTTTATTTTACATCCAAATTCCCGAATTGATGCTGCAAAATGTAGGCTATGGAGAGTCGGACATTGTTTCCCAACCCACGGGCTTGTCTCTTCTTTGTCTCTACAGCTGTTTGTGAGTGGGGAGCTAAATAGGATTTTAAAGGGCTATTTTTTTATGTTTGTCACACACCATGTTAAACAAATCTCTCATCAAAGCCTCCTCTGCAATTAAGCCCACAGAACATAGAGCTTGTTCATAGTCAGTTACAATTTACTCAACCACAAACATGATACCCATTCTTCAAGTCCATATGTGTCACAATCCTCGCAAGCTAAATGTTGTGACTGTGCATTGTTAAAATTTGTCATTAAAGTCACCCACACTTTTTCTTAAAATCATCTTACAGTATTTGCATTTAAAGGCATCTTCTAGGTTCAAACTTAACAACATCTGTGACGTGACATTTCTAAATGAATTAATTCATCAAATTATGAGATTTCTGCTTTTAAACTATCCGGAATGCATTGCACCCTTGATTTCAATTTGTAAGTGCGTTACCGTAAACATTGCGTGACTCATTTTAATTTTTTTTTTTCTGACTAAGAGACAAGTCAAATTAATTTCTGTGGTAAAATCCAGCATGCCACAAATTCTGTTTATAAAACTTGTACTAAGCCTGGATATAGCCAGAGAAAATCTTGACCCAGATGAGGAAGTTATAATGGCTGACATAAGGCTGTCAACGCTCTGATTAGACTTTGCTGGAAAGACCTTGTGAGTTTTGAAGGTGTGCTGATTGCAATATCTTTCAGAAGTCCTTTGAGAAGTAAATTGCTGTAACCTTGGAGTTTGGTAATTACCCCAGACTGCTATCATTCTGGTAGTAAAAGAAAGGCCTTTCTAAACTCATGCACAGCGTCTTCTTTAATAGGATATTCAGCCGGAGGCTAAGCAAAGGGTAATGACAAACGTCTGCTGTGACTTCTAGACACTTTAGTGCTGGACGACTGCTTCTCAGTGGGCTTTCAATGCTAAGTGATGATGGCTTTATGAGGGTAACGTCTTGCACTCCATCTGTCAAGAGTTGCCCTAACCCTTGTGCTTATGCAGAAGTCATCAACTTTGGCCGCTGGCACTTCATTATCCAACTTAGTTGCATTAACTTTTTTAGCAGTTTTATAAGGTGTTTATTTTGAGAGAAATATTGCTTTTAATGTCTTACAACTTCTTGGTATCAGCATCTACACCTGTGCAAAAAACAGCCTGGGATCTATGCCAATCCAATACAAACAATTTTCTGTATGTTATAGTTTGTATATTGATTTGTACACAGTAACAAATTACAACGCAATGGTGGCGCAGAAACGGTAATCCGATATTACATGTAATCTTACTGGGTGCATTTGACTGGGTGCACTGTGGCTAAAATCGGTTGGCCTGACAAGGTTGCAACTTTTCGTGTTTAATTTCTAGCATTAATGAACAGAATTGCAACTTCCGCTTCAAATTACTTCTATCAGGGTGGTCATAGAATAGCAACACATGCCCCTTTTCCACCAACAAGAACCAGGTACTGGTTCAGAGCTAGAGCTAGTGCTGGTTCGGAGTTGGTTCTACTGACGAGCTTTCAAAGAACCGGTTTGCCTTTCCACAGGCTAGAGAGCCATCACGGAGCCAAATCTTACGTCACTGTATACATCTCATGTTGCCCAGCAATGCTAGCCAAAGCTGGGATAGGAGAAAGCATTCTAGCATTAAAAATAAATGTACACTTCACCAGTAAAATCTTCGTATGTTTACTTTGAATATAAAGTGGCATGGCAAGGTTGGAAAAGTAACGGTGCTCCCTATAACCAGTCCATCTCTGGCTTTAAAGGGTGAATACTTGATTTTTGTCATTACTGATGCTAACATATTTATAGAGTCACTGACCACCTGAATTTCCTCTTTCTGTAAATGCATTGACAAAGGCACAGCTTAGACCTATAATTCAACAGCACAACTGAATATAAATGTCCTTTTCCTCTGCTATCCATGGCTCCACTTGCCACAAATGATTAAGGCTGTTTCTATTGTTCTATATTTTTTTTAAGTTAAATTACTAACTTGGCAGCATGTAAGAGCAAAACTTCAGTTTATTTGACAAAGAACAGGTAATTGCTTTTTGTGCTAGACATTTACACCGGCCGGGCAACAGCAACAGTTTGAAGAGTGCAAGCTAACGTTTCTATTCTTAGTGCGCTTGCAGTTATGTTGAGTTCTTTACTTTTCAAAACACTCACAGGTGCTTATCTGAACCCCAGATAAACCGGGAAAGTCATGACAGAGACTCCCATTACCTAAACTTTGAGAGACAGAGCCGCCCTTTGCCTTGAGGGAGAGTAATGTTGAGGCGGCCGGTAATGAAAGCCAGTGGCTCAGTGACGCGAGAGTGTCTCTCAGGCTGGGGGAATGGATGTGGTTGTCTGTGGTGACACAAGCAAACATGTCAGCCCTGTCAGATAAACCGGGTGATGTGCTGCAAGCCGTTCTCCTTTTACAACACGCTGCCTTTTTCCACCCCAGCAACTGCTATTATACGCGTCATCTTGAAGGTAAGACATAGGCCAGCACTGCAAAAACAATGCAAATAAATAAATCATCTCAGCAGATTTTCTGTATCTGAAACACAGCGCTCCTTATATAGTCAAGCCGATGAATTGCCTAGTTTTGTAATGAAACAAAGAAATGGAGCATTATAAGAAGACTCCCTTAGATCTGCAGGCATTCAGAAAAGTCTCTCGCAGTAGTTTGTGTTTAATATGGATATCTACATTTTGGTGCAGTGTAGTTTCAGCAGCAGATAATGGCCACCGCTGTCTTAGTTTCGTAATAATTCTTTATTTCCTCGTACTGTACATGCATATTAGCAAATGCATTTTGGCTCAGTTTTGTTTGTTTTCTAATGGTTATAAATTGCCATTACTGAATTGGCTTTATGCATTACATTTGACTTTGCTCAAAATAAGACGCATTATCAGCTTAAAGTACGATAATAAAACTGTTTGCACTGTTTTTATTTTATCAGCTGATGATTTTGCTGAAAGCATTTATTAAAAAACATTTTTGTTACTGGCAAACAGAACATGTTGTTGCTTAATAATTTTTTTAAATGGCTTACAACAAAGTACTATTGAGTGCATACAGCTTTGCATGTGTGTGAGAGAGGCGCTTGTTTGTGGTAAGAGTTTGTTGTGTCCCTGTTAGTGCCTGAGCTTAATCAACTTAACCGAAATTAAGTTGTAAAGTTTTAATTAATGGGATACTTCAGGATTTAGCATTAAGCTTTGTATTATTAGAAAACCTGTAGTATTTTCGAATTATAAGGTTTTTTCCACCCTCATATCCCCCTGAGACGAGAGATTTATGTATTTTTTTTTTGTCTGGAAAAAATCCTCCGATGGCACAAAAATCGTAATTTTGCGCCATCGGAGGATTTTTTGTCCAGTCTAAAGACTACAGTCAGTAGTAGGGTCTGACTCTCTAGTAGCCTAGACTTGTTGTTTAACTACTGTGCTCTGTTGCCGGTGGGTGGGGCCTCCTAGGGCAGCGAAGCAAGTGCATTCTGGGAGTTGTCGTCCTTCATCCACATAAACCAAAAATACATTTTCTGGGTTTTCTCAGTTTAGAAAACACATTTCTTCTACATAAATGACCCATTTTAAATACACATTCATCTTTCCAGAAGTGAAGTATCCCTTTAAATAAATGTATGTGCAGCATGTCTTTTGGTGAAGCGCAGCACTGACCTTACAGTGCAAAACATCTTACTAAACTTGTAATTAAAAGCATTTTTACTTAACATATTTTTACTTCAAACTTACTTCATAACATCACTGTATGTAGTTGTCACCTGATATGATGAATCCTACCACCACAGGACAAGCTTCTGATGACTTGCCTCTGATGGAGGATTGAGGTTTATTCGGCCGGGGAATATCCCGGACGAGCCCCCAAATCTGTTGCTGAGTGTTTGAAATAACATGTGGCTTCATGTCAGAATTGCAAGAAATTATATTATTTTATAGTATTCTATACAGTGATAAAAGCTACATTGATTAGCATTGCATTATAAATATTATTAATAATATCTTATGTAATACCCCAGATGTCTTAAAGAACACAGATAAACCATATATTGCCGCATTTCCATTGCCCTTTCGGCAGTCAAACGTCTCCATCTGTATGTTATTCTTCATTTGTCTGCATTAGGGATGTAATGTCATAAGTTTTATGAATTCTTTGAGTCTCACTAGTAGTAGACATTTTACTGTATACTTGTGCTACAACTGTATAGTAGATATGTAGTCAGGCTACACATACACCAAAATAAAAGAGTAGTGCATTTTTGTGTGTAACTATAAATAGTAATTTTTCTATTCTGACAGGTGGTAAAATAGTTTTTCCATGGGGTATCTCTGCTTTAAAGAGGGCTTTCCTAAAGAAAATAAAAGTCACTGTGTAGTTGGCAGTTGTGCCATATATTGTCAAATATCATACATTGAAAACTGATGACAGGTATAAACAGTGATAACTATTCTGCCTTCACTAGTGTGCATAAACTAGCTTTACAGATAGCTAACAGTTTCCAATAAAGTACCAGAAGCTTCTTGCTGTATTGTGGTGTTTTACTGAAAGGACTGTAAAACTGTAACATACAAAAACAAAGAAAAGCATATTACAATCTCAATATGAAGAATATACAATACAAAAATAAATATGTAGTCTAGAAATAACTAAACTTTCAAATCACGATTGTATGGCAAACAAATAGCACAATGCTAATTTACATAGAAAACGCCATAGAGAAGCTAACGCAATTAGCGTCACATATTTCCTTGCAAATTACAAACAGAAAAATGCTAAAATGACTAAATAGGATATCAAAAGTAGGCTAAGATCTCTAAGAAACAAATACTTACAGACAGATATTCGTCAGAGACCAAAATGACAGTTCAGAAACTTTAACACTCTGGAGATCGACTTGCAGGGGAAATGTTATGAGAACAACTGAGCTACGGAAACTCTGAGTGGACAAAACACAAGAAACTCAAAACCCAAATACCTCTTCTCACAATGGGCAGTACACTCCCCGCCTGGAATACTACTATTACACTATTAACCCTTTACTAATAACACAATTTCCGAAACAGGTCTAGAGTACACCTTAGGAGTACCTTCTTTAACTATGCGGACATCTACTTTACGTACTCTTTTATCTCTCCCAGGATAAATGTTCACAATAAGTCCAGTAGGCCATTCGTTTCTTTTGACCTGAGAGTCCTTTAAGAGGACAACGTCACCAATGGCTAAGTTTGGTTGATCTGCTTGCCATTTTCTTCTTGGTTGAAGGGTAGCAAGATACTCTTCTCGCCATCGTTTCCAGAATGAGTTAGCCAGACTTTGCACCTGTTTCCATTGCTTCCGGTACAAGTCTTTTGGATCGAAGTCCCCAGGAGGAATAGAAGCGGGACAGATTTTCTGAGTGAGAAGAGCCCCTGGAGTCAGTAAATCAGGTTGTTGAGGATCAGATGACACAGGTACTAATGGACGACCATTCATTATGGCTGTTACCTCTGCCATGAGCGTCACAAGTACTTCATGAGTCAGATTTGGAGAATGAACCTTCAGCATCATAGCATCCAAGATACGTCGAGCCACACCAATCATTCTTTCCCACACCCCTCCCATGTGAGAAGAGTGAGGTGGGTTAAACTTCCAAGTGCATGCCTCCTTTTTGAGGTAGGATTGAAGCTCTGGGTCTGAACTTATCTGAAGCTCCTTGCATGCTCCTACAAAGTTCGTTCCACAATCTGAACGGAAAAGTTTGGTGGGTCCTCTTATGGCCAGGAACCTTCTGAGCGCGTTTATGAAACTTGAAGTAGAGAGAGACTCCACAACCTCGATGTGAACTCCTCGTGTGACCAAACAGGTGAACATTACTGCCCATCGTTTATTTTTCTACCACTCCACCTCTTGTACGACGGATGCATATGTTCCACGGTCCAAACACATCTACTCCGACATGTGTAAAAGGAGGAGATTGGAAAAAGACGATCAGCCGGAAGGTCTGCCATTTTTTGTTGTTGAACATTCCCTCTTAACCTGCGGCAGGTTGTGCATTTGTTGAGTAGATTTGAAACCAACCTTTTTCCTCCAAGGATCCACAGTCCAGCAGACCTGACGGCTCCTTCAGTGATATGTCTGCCTTGATGCGCAACCTGTTCGTGGTAGAACTGGACCAGCAAGGCAGCAATGTGATGCTTCTTCGAAATCACAATAGGCTGACTTTGTTCTTGAGTTATTTCAGCAGAAGTCACACGCCCTCCTACTCGCAGCAGACCTTCCTTGTCCAAAAACACATTGAGATTCTTCAATGGACTGTGTTTTATTATGTCCTCGCCTTTGTTCAAAGTTCTCAATTCTTCTTCAAAGGACTCACCTTGAACAGTTCGGACAATGACTAACTTTGCTTGAATTAAAGCGTCCATCTTTGCTTCATCTGAATCAGTAGCTTTTGAGATAGATCTGGCCTTTTCAATGAGCTTCGCTATAGCTTGAGTGAGGCGTTTCCAACTGGAGAATCGCTCAAACCTGTGTGACCCGAGTGAATTTGCCACGATTGTAGTTGCAAACGTAGAGACTTGTGGGCGGACTTCAATGTCCGTGGAGGGTTCAACAAGCTGAAAGTCATTCTGCTGCACAGGACACTCTCCATCTCTTTCCCTCAAGAAGTCGGGACCAGTGAACCAATTTGTAGAACTCAATAAGGAAGCTGGCACATGCCGTGTTCCATGATCGGCAGGATTAATTTCCGTGCTCACAAAGTGCCACTGACTGGGATCGGATGACTTCCTGATGCGAGCAACACGGTTTGCTACGTAGACATAGAACCTTCGGCTGATGTTATTGATATAGCCTAAGACTACTCGACTGTCAGTGTAGTACTTCACATTGTGAATTTCTATGTCAAGTTCATTCAGCAACATGTCTGCTAACTCCACCGCCAGAACGGAAGCACATAACTCCAAGCGAGGTACTGTGTGGACTTGTCTAGGAGCTAATTTGGACTTGCCCATGCAGAAGCCTACGTGGACTTGACCTTCAGAATCTATGGCTCGGAGGTATGCAACCGCTGAAATAGCTGATGTAGAAGCATCTGCAAAGACACACAACTCCCTTTGACAGGTAGATTGCAGTGACGTGTGCACATACTGTCTAGGAATTTGAAGTTTCTCAAGGTCTACAAGCGAATCTTTCCAAGATTTCCATTGTGCCTCTTTTTCTGCTGGCAATTGAGTGTCCCATTCACAATTCTCTGAGCACAATTCTCTAATGAGAGCTTTACCTTGCATGATGATGGGGGCAGCAAACCCAAGAGGATCGTACAAGCTGTTAACAGCAGAAAGGATGCCTCTTCTTGTGAACGGCTTGTCTTCTCTTGATACGAGAAAGGTGAAACAGTCATGTTGCAAGTCCCAGTTAAGCCCTAAACTTCTCTGTAAGGGCAGAGGCTCTGCACCAAGGTCAAGACTTTTCAGTTCTTTTGCACGTTCCTCAGATGGAAATGCTTCCATTACGTCTGGGTTATTGGAGGCTATTTTGTGCAAACGAATGTTAGAGTCCGCCAGCATTTCTTTTGCACTCTTCAGAGTTTGAATGGCGCTAACGTCTGAAGAAAAAGAAGCCAGTCCATCATCAACGTAAAAGTTTTTAAGGACAAACTGTTTGGCCTCTTCACTGTACTCATCCTGTGTGGCCAGCGCCGCCCTCCGGAGACCATATATAGCTATGGCAGGAGACGGGCTATTTCCAAACACGTGTACGGTCATCCTGTACTCTCTGATTGCCCTTGTGAGATCGTTACCTTCGTACCACAGGAAACGCACAAAGTCGCGGTGGTCCTCGCGAATGACAAAACAGTAGAACATTTGCTGTATGTCCGCAGTTATTGCCACAGGTTCTTTTCGGAAGCGCAAGAGGACCCCAATAAGTGTGTTGTTCATGTCTGGACCACTCAACAAAACATCGTTCAAAGACGTGTCTTTGTAAGTTGCACTAGAATCAAACACTACCCGTATCTGATCAGGTTTGCGTGGATGGTACACACCAAAAAACGGTAGGTACCAGCACTCTTGATCTTTGGTGGGTGGCGGAACAGGTTCAGCATGTCCTGACTCAAACATTTTTTCCATGAAGTTCAAGAAATGTTCTTTCATTTGGGGCTTTTTGTCAAGCGCTCGACTCAGTGAGTTGAGACGTTTGACTGCTTGGTCTCGATTGTTGGGTAATCTGTGTCTATTCGTTTTGAAGGGCAGTGGTGCCACCCAGCTGTTAGACTCGTCCATGAACATTTGTTCATCCATGATCTCCAAGAAGAGTTCATCCTCGACTGACATGGCAGGTTTGTCATCATGTGGGGTTCTCTTGAACAATTTGTTGGTTAGACAGTCATTTTCATCTATGTCCATCAAGCTGCACATGTTCCCAGAATTAAATAGGCCGTCAGAGCTCAGAATCTTTTCTTTAACATGGAATGAATTGGTGCAAGAGTCCAACAGAGATGTGCGTCCATTGTTCAACACTGATGTGCGGTAAACACTGAGATTGCTAGGCACATGAGCACCTCCAAGGCAAACATCACCTATTATCACCCAGCCGAGGTCGAGGCGTTGGGCGTAAGGAGCATCGTGGGGGCCGTTGTAATGTTCTCTGACCTTGTGCAGTCTTGGTATGTCCCGACCAAGGAGGACCAGTATTGAAGCATTAGGGTCCAAATCAGGAATCTTGGCTGCCAAATGCTTGAGGTGAGCGTGTTGTCTTGCAGCCTCCGGTGTGGGGATCTCAGATCGATCATCTGGGAGCATGTTGCACTCGATTAATGTGGGCAGCCGGACGCTAGTGTTGCCATCAAGAGACTCCAGAATGAACCCGTCAGCTTGGCGTGCTTTTGTCTCTCCTACGCCTGAACAAGTCTTTAGAGTGTAAATTTTGGTGTCTGTGCTAACGTTAAAGATCTCAAAGAATTCTGTTTTTGCTAAAGACCTATTGCTTTGCTCGTCTAAGACAACATAAGCTTTCACTGCCTTTTCCTTGTGCCCAACAGGATAAATGTTTACTAAGCAGATTTTGGAGCATGAGCGTGAGCTGTTACCCTTTCCACATACCTCAGTACATTTGGAGACAATGGCGCGTATAGGACTTTCTGCTTGCTCCCCGCCATGCACGTTAGGAGATTCAGATCCTGGAGTTTCCGTTTTCCAGGTTGGTGGTCCAGGGTGCAGTGCGGTAACATGTTGGTCACTTTTGCACTCATTGCAATGTACACTTGCGTCGCAATCTTTTGCCATGTGGTTGACGGAGGAACAGCACTTGTAACAAATGGCCAATTCTTTCAGAATGACTTTCCTCTGATCCAAAGTCTTTGCTCTGAAACCACGACACTTGCGAAGGGAATGTGGTTTATTGTGGAGCGGGCACAGTTTATCCGGGTCAACCACCTTTTGGTCAGAGGATTCACGATTGCCTTTTGGAGCAAGTATTTCAGTTTTTCGAACAGATACTGCGGTTTTGAAATTGGGCTTGATCATTCTTTCAGGCCTACAAACACTTGGACCACTGGTAGAAAGCAAGGGAGCAAAGCTTGGGTCATTTAAAGTTTTAGCTTTGTCGCACACAAACTTCACGAAAACGGGAAATGGCGGGTATGAAGCATGGTGTTGCTCTTTATAGTAAGATGCTGTGGTAATCCATTTTTCTTGAAGGTGAAATGGGAGTTTCTGAACAATGGGTGTGATGCCCCGGGACGTGTCTAGGTAACTCAGACCAGGCAGGAATCCATCTACCCGGGCAGCATCAAGCTCTGAGATGAGATCACCTAACTCCCTTAACTTGCCGTTTTCTCTGTTTGCGATTTGGGAAAATCTTCCAACTTTTTCAGGAGAGCATTCTCGATCGCTTCAGGGGACCCATAGATGTCTTCCAGTCTTTGCCATACCATTTTTACACCAGCTGCGGCATCGTAAGTGTGCACAGCCCTTAATCGTTTGGCTTGGTCTGATGATTTGGGGCCTAACCACTTGCAGAGGAGATCTAACTCTTCTTTTGGGGATAAATAGAGACCTGCTGTAGCGTTCAAAAAGGATGCCTTCCAAGCCCAATAATTTTCAGGCTTATCATCAAACGTCAGGAGCCCTGAGCTGACCAACTCTCTGCGCACCAAATATTTGGCTAAGTCCGATGTGGCTGGGGAATTGGACTCGTTTGCACTGGGTACAGGGCGAGGTGACGTCAGCCTAGGCTGCAAAGGAACTGACTGGTTCATTAGATGTTGCTGAAATCTGTGGTCTGTAGTAGCTGGGGTAGGATACTGTGAGTGGGACGTGAAAAGGGCATTTTTGAACGAGCTTTGGGCATAAGGATGAGTTGCTCCGCTGCTGATGTCATACTGTGGAGAGTGCGTCACTGGTAGCTCTTGAAACCCATATTCACTAATCTCGCTGTTTGATATGTTATGCTCTTTATCTTTATGTTGCTCAATATCGCCGCTGTATTTCACTCGCTGAGCTGCTGGAAGTGTCACTGTGCTAGCTTGAGGGTAATTAGAGCGATTAATAGTCTGCGGTATGGAGTCAACTACTTTGTCGCTGCTTTCTAGAAACCAGGGTTCTCCACCTTCTTCCCCAGCGGCTGCTTCCAGGACCTCTGCTTCGGCGTTGGCAGCAGCAGCTGCACTCTGTAGACGCAATTTGAGGAGGTCAGCGCTGAGCTCTGCTTTCTTTTTTGTAGCCTCAGCCTTGATGTGGGCCTTTTCTTTTAACACCTCTGCTTCTCGTTCAGCGTATGATGCCTTTGCTTGAGCGGCTGCTGCTTTAGCACGTGCTCTAGCAGCCAAAACGCTTGCATTAGACCACTGACTGGTGTGTGACCGCTGACTGGCGTGTGACCGCTGAC